TTTGTAGGAGAAAAAAATTATACGGCCTATAAAAATAAATCTTCAGTAGTATTTATCAAAATAAATATTTTTAATACTAAATGAGCTTTAATTGTAGATCTAAAGTGAATATCTGTAATATGTATAAATATATATGTTTATGTATATCTATAACATGTATAGCAACCACACTATCAAAACAAAATTTCAAACTGTCACTAACAAAATCTTCGTGTTAGAGCAGGCCATGTTATGGATGGATGGATAGGATTCCTTCCTTGTGCTTTTTCCTCCAGTCTGAGTAATATTCATTTGCACCTAATTCATCCCAAAGGAATGCTAAGCTTTAGTCTACTCTTTTGATTGTAAATTAGCTCAAAATTACGGACTTACTAGTTGCCCACCTTTTCTTTGGTCTGTGAATTTCTGTCTTCTCTTGGACCTTCTTCATGAAGTTTTGCACTGTTAAACAGGAAAAAAATATTTTCTTTATCTTCCTTCTGACTCCTCAAGACAGTTGGTCCCTTTTATATGTAGCACTGATGTTAGATAAAATTTCAAGCATCATTCATGCCTTAACTCTGCAATTCAAAGTGGTTTTCGCTGCAGAAAAGACTTAGATTGGAGGATTTTTGCCTTTTTTCGCCTTAAAAGTCACACGTTTCCTCCTGCATTTCTGCAATCTGTAAAGAAGACTGGTGGAACAGGCAGGTAACTCATTTTGATATTACATCCTTCATAAATAGTGAAGAATTTATAATCAATATAGAGAGAAAGTGATCTCTTGGAAGTTGCTTAAAATCAGTTCTAAGGATGGACTTTATTTGGTGAGAATCTTCTTAATTTAGTAACTCAGGAAGAAATTTGACTAATGTAAGTACATAGAGGGTACTTTTTGAGATATTTTAGGTCTTGTTATTGATTCCCAAAGTAACTACATTGTAATTTTCTGGTTTGATTTGTTTGGGTCACTTGCATATTGTGGTCATAAATTTGTTGCATATTATTTAGTTAACTAAGCAGATTGTAGACAGAGGTTTGAATTCACAAAATAAAATAAATGGGAGATGAGCAAAGTTTGGAAACCTGCAATTTTATCAAAATCATTGGTTCTTATTTAGGAGAAAGTAAATTATGATTTAAAAAGCGAGTGTAGTGTATTTGCACTTGCAACACTTCCTGACATTATGGCAGTCTTAAAAGGATCATGTTACATTGCTTATTATGTTATTCCCCCTTCCAATTTGAAATTCTATCTCTAGGACTATGCAGTATTTTTCCTCTGTCTTCAGTATTCTTTTATGTGAATGAGAGATTTTAAAATGAATAAAATTATCGCACTGATATGTCATTTTTCCTACTGAAAACTGTTTTGTTTTTCAATTTTTTCAATTTTTAGACTTACAATTTCACAGATTGAAAAATATTTAATATAGATTACAGGTAGGATCTGTTTGGCTCTGCAATTCAATGAATATTTGTATTAAGGGATAATTGGACTAATGAAACTGAGAAAGATACATTCTATTTAAAGAAATTGATTTAGGTTCAAAATATATTCAAGTGGTAGGAAAGCATGGTGGTTTAGATGTGGTGTTTTCATAATAATTTTATATTTTAAACAATAAAGAATATTAAGGATTGTTATGACTGTTACCAAAGACAGTGCATGAGGTTTACTTCAATGCATTATTTTTAGCTTCTCTGTATTTGAAGGCCAAGTGATACTTGTAAGTAACATAAAAATTATTCACATGAAGAAAAGTATTTTTTTATGCTGGAAGGAACTCAGAGTCATTGCAAGACATTTGATTAGTATTCATGGCATAAAAGGAAGTTATTTTCAGGGTAAAGGAATTTGTGAAAAGATAATTGGTTAGACCAACATTCTCATTAACCTAATTTGCATGAAATATGCTATTGTGAATTGTAGTTATTCTTTTCCATTTGAAAGGCATGCTTTGTTAACTTATTTAAAGAGCCTAATTAAACTACAGTTTAAGTCATACCCTTTAATTCAGCAATACAATATCAAAGTGAGGATCTGTGATTACCAGCTTTGTCAGTGTGGAGAATCATAAAGCAGTTCTTGATCCCAGTGGATTTTCCTGATGAAGTAGCTTGGTTTAGCTGCTTTATATGTGGTCATTCTCAGATACTGAAAGCATTTGACTAATCCTTTAGTTTAATTTTAGTCCTTTATAAGAGCAGAGAAAACTCCTATTTTCTCTGTAGTGCAACATGAGAAATAAGTAAAACAGTCTTGGGGATATTGGAAGAAATTACTTATGCCTTTGTTCTAATAATAAGAAGATTTTGAGGATTATTTTGTTTAATTATTTTTCATAGAACTTCACATATATAACTAAATAGAGCCTTTAAAATGTGAGCTGTTAAAACATAAATTAATTTGCACATTCTAGTGCCCATTTTAAAATCATGAGACTGAATTTAAATGTCTTTGGTTTTCAGCATTACTTATTACATATTATCAGTATTCTAGATGTTTGGAAATGGAGGGGTTTATTTCCTCTTGTGCTGTGTGCAATGAGGAGGAAGGTGCCTTTGTCAGCAGTGAGATGACTGTGAGTGCTCATTAAGTATTTTCATCTGCAGATAGAGACATAAAGATACAGGGTCTAATTTTTCCACACTGTTGAGCATACCTAGCCATCTTGGAACCTGGTGTTTGTATTGTATGAACTAAACATTTGTAAAATTAGCCACCTTGTCAGATATCTAAATGTTAATTTCAGTGCTTAATTTTCATTATTTGCACTTGTTTAAGAGTGGTTGTTTTCAAAATAGTAATGGCTGGAGACACTGAGTGTAAACCAAAACCTAGCTGATCAGGCAAGGTTGTATGTCAGCACAGCAATGCTGAACGATGTTGGATAAATGTAATGAAAACAGAGAAATGAAAATTCAAGCTAGACATGGTAATAGTCTTAAATATCTCTGCAAATATTCAGCTGAGAATGTCACTTTCTTGCTGTAATGGTTCAGAAGATTACAGTAGTGGACATGCCAGGCAGACAGTGTGATTAGCAAATGAGTACATTTGCATACCCAGTGACCAGACATGAAATGCTATGAAGTAGATAAAAAAAAAATAAATTCCATGGCCAATCAATTTTAAATTCTGGCTGGGAGATGGGTAGATCTCCCTTTTCTTATTATTTGGCATGGAAGTATGCTAATTTCTACGCCATTTTGGTGCTTATTCATTTTGTTTGCAAAACAGGAGTCAGCTAGTGCTTGCACTATTAAGTGAAATTGCTGAAAGACTGAGCTTCCCTACATTTTGGGACAAGCAGACAGTGGCAAAGAAGCCAGTTGTGGGGACAGCACATAATATGTTTGGATTTTGTCTGCAGGATTAAGGGCATGATTCAGGGATTGTCAAAGTTATGAATGGCAGTTCATATCAAGAACCAAACAGAAGCTAAATGCTCACTTGTTGATAAAGCCACTGAAAACTTCCTCTAGCACATGCGTTCTCTAATAGAGATTAGGAAAGAATGAGCTGTTGCTTCTCAACAAACTGCTGGAATAAATCGTAATGGCTTACAGGTGATCATAGAATGGGTAAGGTTGGAAGGGACCACAGTGGGCTATCTGGTCCTACCTCCCTGTTCAAGCAGGGTCATCCTAGAGCACATGGCACAGGATTGCATCTGGACGTGTTGAATATCTCCAGTGACATATTCAGCAACCTCTCTGGGCAATATCATCCAGTGCTCAGTCACCCGCACCATAAAGAAATTCTTTCTCATGTTCAGGTGGAACTTCCTGTGCATCAGTTTCTGCCTCTTGTCCTATTGCTTGGCCCACTGAGAAGAGCCTGAATCCATCCTCTTGACACCTTCCCCTCAGATACTTACAGACATTGATGAGGTCCCTCTCAGTCATATCTTCTTGAGGCTGAACAGGCCCAGCTCACTCAGCCTTTCCTCAAAAGAGAGACTCTTGACCATCTTAGTAGCTCTGAATTCTCAGGATCAAATTTCATCTCCTTCACGTAATATTTCAACGTGGTTTTTTTTTAATAGATCTTCCGAAAAAGCTATTTGTCCTTAAAATGCACAGTCTAAGATGACACGTCGCGTACTCCGCATCAGCAATGTCTTTGCTTTCTGTTTCTCTAGACCTTTGCCCACCATCTTGAAACCCGAATCTTTCATGTTTCCTCTGTCACAGACCATACTGATTTTTTTTGAGTTACTGGAATTCTTGTATGTTTTTTTCAGTAAATAATTTATAGGACTAGAACTGTCTTTTGCAACACAGCATGGTACTGCAATAAAAATATCATATTTAGAACAAAATGGTAATTCAACAACCCTTACAGTAAGAGAAAGTTCCTTCTGGCTTGAAGAAATGCGGTATGTTAGAAGATCCTGTAACTAAGGTTATATATGTAACTTAAGTAGCCCTATTTAAGTGTTTCTTTTAATTCAATTCCTCCTGCTATGAATTGGAATTTGGAGTTCAGTGCCTTTTTTTGATGATGTGCTGGAGTAGGGACAAGTTCAAGGAAGAGAGAGATTTCAGCTACCAGACAAGAAGTGTTTATTTGGCTAGTACAAAGTGATTTCATAAAATAATTATAATCCATTTTAAGAAATATTTGCATGTTGGTAAGAGAAGGTCTACAGCACTTTCAAAGCTGTTCGTAAGAAATTACCTCTGTAAATACTGTATGTATCCCTAGGATATTGTCCGAATTGGAATTTTGAATGAAAATCTCACTTGTTGACATGGCACCCAGCACCTGCTCATTCACTTTTGAATTTGTTGCCCCTTTTTCAGTATTGTTTTGCAAGTAAGTGATTAAAATTTCTATAGAACTTTGGCATAAAATAAGTTTTGGATGGTGAATGCAAGCAGCATTAATATTAAATGCAAATTTGTTGAAGAGATTAGATTTATTTATTGACTTTATTTCTTTAGGTTGGGAACTTCAGATAAAACTTGTTAATTTTTTTTAAATAAATATTGTTTTTATTTATTTTCTTTAGGAGATTCCTTTACACAGTTTCGATTTGCTGATGAGAAAGAATGGGATAAAGAAAGCACATGCCATAAGCAGGTAACAGAATTATCATTCAAATGATTTTATATAGATAATCACCTGGCACAGATTATCTAGGCAGTTGTGCTTTCAGCAGCAAATTGTCAATACAATAATAGCACCCTTTATTGTGTATATTTTATTAACTTCTCCCTGATGCTGGATGCTAGTGGGCCTTGTCCTTTTTTTTTCTGCTAAAGACTAATCAAAGCATCAGGCTAGGTTTTTAAGTTCTATTGGGAGATAAAAACAAGAAATCTCTCAGTGAAGAGAACTGGAGACTTCTCTTTGCTTTACTGACATAGCAGATCAGCCTTCTTTTTTCAACTGTGTTCAAGAGAAAAGAGTTTAGTAAAATTACTGTAACAAAACCCTTATGAGTATATTCATATATCGAACTATGAAACATATTCTCGTTCCTTCAAATTAACAGTTCATATCCTCTAGTTGAAACTTCATGTCCTAAAAAATAGGACATCAGCTAGATTATTTGTATGTGAATTTTTTATGCTTGAATAAAAAGGAGCACAGCAATAGAAGTCTCCTGTTTTCTATATCAGGTTACTTGAAAGTGTCTCAATCTGTGCAGCTGTCTTCCTCATGTAAGTCAGCTGAATTATTGCAAGATAAATGCTTTTGTCTTCCAGACTTTTCTTAAAATTGATGTGAAGCTTTGCTTGAGTGTTTCTTGAAATGTGCATATGTGTTCAAATTTTCAAGATTTGCTATTTGTTTTCTAAAATATTACAATATTCTAAAATATTACAATAATTATTCCCTGGGAAGTGATACTTAAAGGTACTTTAGGGTTGCAAAGCCAAATTAAAATGACGAAATAAACCCAAATGCGGCAGTTCTTTAAACCACCACCTGTTTCTTCAGTGGGACACAGTCTTCCAATGACTGTGTATTTTTTCTTATCAGTTCTTCTGCTTCTAGTGTGCAGGATGTTGTCGGTAACCAGAATATTAATTTCTTTTTAGCTTCCTCATAGGCTTGTCGTTATAGCGTTTAGGTGATTTGAACACATTAATTCCTGAATTAATGGCTAAAGCCATTGTGAGAAGAGTGAAATTGCATGTTGACAGTGGTTTTCACAAATATTCTTCTGACTGCCAGTGATGAAACTGCACAGCTCTGGAGCTGGTCCCATGTTCTTATTGCAGAGTGTGCTGTGGTGGGCATGTTCTTCTGCCTCTATCCCTACCAAACTGTAGCAATTCATTCTGCCTCATCCAAATTCGTTATTTAAACTGTTTCACTGTCCTTATGTCACTTCGAAATAGTTTACTGCACTAATCTCAATTATTCTCCCTTTATTTTCTTATTTTAGTCCAGAATCCTGTCCCAGATGGTTTGATAATATTATCTAATTTTTCACATTGTCTTTGATCTTTAACCTGGTATCTCCTTTTTGTTTCTGACCCATCTTTGTTTCCCCTGAAAGCCAAATCCAAGTCTAATTTTCACCCTACATCATTCACACTATTTGCCAAATTCTTGGTCTTTGCTTCTTAGCTCACCTCTTTCTAGTTCTTTGCCTGTCTACATGTTATGTCCAGGATTAGAGAATTGTAAACTGAATTTATTACGAGGGAACAAAATAAATAAAAAAGATATAAAAATAGTTGCAGAATGACTAGATATTTCTCATACCCTACTGTTTGTAGAAAGCAATGACAAAGCATCAGTTTCAAATGAGGAATGGAAATGTGACTGTGACATCAACAAAAAAAAATTCGTTTTATTAAGAATACTATCATTCATTGCTACAAAAAGTAGATTTGGATTCTCTCTGTTGTATATTGATAAAATACAATAAAGAGTGTTTCAGAACATGATCTATAATTGAAAGATCAAACAGGTAATAGTAATTTGGATTTTTCAGTAAAAAATAGCAATTCCAGCAACAAAGTATGCCTCTACTTATTTTTTTTAACAAATAACCACATATGCCATGAAGTATCATAATCTGTTAAATACTGATTTGATTTCTTTGTTTTTTATTACAACACCACTTTTAGTGAAATATGTACTTGAATATTAAATTCCTTCTTCCATTATGTTGTTTTTCCAAATTCCTCTTTTCCTTCATTTTCAACCTTTCCTCCTCTTCCCTATCTCCAGTTTTTAATATTCCTTTGTAATGTTCATTCTTGTTAGTATTTTTGCAAGTTACATAGCTCTTACCAAATGCACTTAAATGTTATTTAATGATACTTCACTTTTTACAATGTTTTATGTTACCAGATTCATACAATTCCCTTGTCTTTTGTAACTGTGCAGAAGCCATATTTGATCTTCAATATCTGTCAAAATAACTGGTTTTTCTGAAGATCTGATTCATTGCTGGGCAACAAGACTTGCTTGCTGAAGACTTTGTGAGGTTACTTGCACCAGTGAATCATCTTTGATGGTGATCACCAATGCATTGAAAAATAGATTTGTTGGTAAAGGACAAAAATTCTAACCATCAGATATTTGTTTAGTCATTTCACTGTCATTACTGGATACCAGAACCAGAATTTGGATACAAGAAACGGTTAAATCAACTGCATTGCTTCTTTTTAAAATTTATTTTACTTTTGCAAGAATACTGTCAGAACACACTATGTCTTTGATTCATTATTGCTAGGTATGCAGATGTCAAAAGCTATCCTGTTGACTGGCTTTTGGAAGCAGTGTCAATTTCTTTGACAAATCTCTTATGATATGGCACAAAACGCTCTCTCCTAATTTATGAGTATTTGGATTCTAAATGTCTGTGCCAGTCTACATTGGATTGAGAAGAATAAGTTTTTATCCCTTTAAGTGAGATTTGGAAGCTGCTTCTTTGCTTCCATAAAAATGAGAGTATAGACTGAACCTAAGCATTTTGTTGTCAGATTTTAAAATACAGTATGGATATCAAATGATCTTTTCATCAGTAATGAACGTCCTCAGAATGTTCTGTACTCTGAGCTTGAAATCTGTTTAAGACTACTGAAGTCCGGGTTGTTCTGTAAAAATGTCAAATATTGCTGGTTCATTTTGTAAATCTGTTTTTAAAAAGGGGACAAGAGAAAATGAAGCTTCAGTAACTGTCACAGTAATAAGTTGTGATTTAGCAGCAGTAACATCTTGAATATAATTTTAGAAGTGTTTGTAACTATATACTTTGTTGCTTTTGTAAGTATCAAAACATTTTAAAAGATGTGGAAGTATAAAAAGGCCCCTGTTTAGCCATTAAAACCAATATAGCTACACAGGAGCTATGGGTTGATTGCTTAGAAAATAGTAGCAACTCACTGAAGAATGGCATTTCACACTGCATGAAGGCTTCAGAGTTTAAAACATGTTTCAGTTGGAAAAGCTTCTTATGACATCGTCTTATGACTGAACTATTCTATTTTGGATATTCAAGGCATTGTCTAAAGAGTGTTCCATATATACCTTGTTTTTTAGCTGTAAGTGATTATTTGCAGTGTGTTTATTTGATAATTTAGCCAAACTGCTCCATACAAGTGTAAAAATTCAAACTATTAATTTGTGTATTTCATTAGATTGGTTTCCAGATTCCTCAAATAAGTGGAACAGGAGGATGTAATAGATTAAAATTATTAGATTTTTTGTTTGTGTTCTTTTTTGTATTTGATTTTATTATTCACAAGTGTGCTGTGTGTTAAATTATATTTCAGTTCTCTGCACTTTCTGTTGACTGCCAGTCTTTGGTCCAGGCCCTTCAGGAATTACCTCTACATCTGAAGTTGAATGTAGCTGCTGACCTTGTACAGGTAATGCTGTGTATTTACACTAGAAAATGCAGATATGCTTGAAGACTAATCATTCTTGCATAGATTTTTCTCTTAAAATAAGTACAATGTATTATGTAAGTAAATACATTCTGTTAGACTGGCATGTCAAGTGCCATGTAATGCAGGATACCCCTCTATCAGCATATTGTTTGTGCTTACTTGGCTTTAAACAAAATACTTGATGTGCAGCATATTAGATTTGAAGCCAGGTATCAGTGTGTTTGACATGGAATGATTGCACTATTTTTGTATTTACTTCTTTTGTTAGCAGCTGACTTTAGTTGCACCAAAACTTTGAAAGTGTTTTCATGTTCTTTCCTGTTAATTACTTTGTGATTTAGTCTTCTACATAACTAATATCATACACCGTTTTTTTCTGCGAATTGTTCTTACATCAGTGTTAGAACAGGTAGAATGCTCTATCATACAGGTGAAGGAAAAATTATTTATGCTCCAGTGGCAGAGGAAAGCAACAATATTATTAAAAAATGTTTCTTCAGACTGTGAAAAAGAAAGTACTAATGTAAGAGCAAAAGAGCCAATGAGACAAATATAAAAACAAAATTCTGTGAGGCACTGACACAGATTGCTCAAGGAAGCTGTGGATGCCCTATCCCTGAAAGTGTTCAAGGTCAGGTTGGATATGGCTCTGAGCAATCTGGTCTAGTAGAAGGTGTCCCTGCCCATGTCAGGGGTGTTGGAATGGGAGGACCTTTAAAGTCCTTTGCAAACCAAACCATTTGATCATTCTGTGAGCATTTTTGAAACAATGGAACATGCTGATTTAGCATGCCATCTCATATTCTGTAATAAGGGATAAAAGGAGTTTGTATTTTGCATTTGCTTCTGTAAAAGTATCATCCAGGTAACTGTACTTTCACTTCTGAACTGAATTCTGCTTAATTTCGCTGTACCTTCTAAAGTGATCAAATAGAGGAAGTATGAATTACAAACCAAATTAGACGTAGATGATAATAGATAATAATGGTAATAGACAATAATCATTATAAAGTCCTTTCATATACTCTTAGGCATCAACACCTGTAGAGCTCCCACAGATGAAATCTAAAATTTCTGAAGCTGTCAAGAGGAGAGATCAGCTGTTCCGACAAGCTCCAGCTCAAAGTGACACCGTGTTGGTCTCCCCTCCTGTTGGCAATTCTGTTGCTTCATCAGAGCCTGGAAGTAAAAGTGGTTCTAGGGAAAATGCAAGAGAACCACTTCAGAAAATCCATCCACTATCAAAGCAAGCGAATGACCATTTGGATGAAGAACTGGATCTTCTCCTGAATCTAGAGGCTCCCATGAATACAGGAAACAGACCGGTGTCAGGTGCATTACCCTGCAGCGTATCAACTGAGAAAGATTTGAAAATGGATTGTAAGGAAAATGGTAATTTTCTCTTCTCCTCAGCATGCCCTTATTTAATTTCTGTTGCTCTCTGTTTTGGTGATGTTTTTGGATTCTTGATTAGCCAGTCAACAGTACTGCTGTCATCATTGCTCTTTCATACTGCATTTCATTTATCTTTTGTTCATTTTTAAGTTTTAAATCCTCATAAACTAAAGTTTCACCATTTTCAGTACACTTTAAGCATTAAGAGAAATTCTGCAAAACAGCATTGGGATTATGATTCAGCAAAATTTTAAATTAAAAAAAAATATAATGTACTGCTAGAGAATTTTATTGTGAGGAAGATAAAGTAGGTATAACATTATCAGTCCTTAGTTCACCATGCTAATTGACAGATATTGACAGCTATTTCCGATGGCTTGTCATAAATGCTATTTTCAAACTTTTCTGGCATTAACTTTATAAAAGTTAGTTTAGCATGGAAACTATTTTTGGAACATGACTTGCTGTTCTTCAAGAAAGAGAGATTGTGTTTACATACAATCAGTTGTGTATTAAAAAGCAAAATGACACAGGACAAAGCACTGATATGGAATTGTTTCCAGGTTATCAAACCTGTTCTTTTCACTTTTCTAGACACTTTGAAAGTAGATATGCCTGAAGAGAAGAGTACATCATCACAGCAACAGCAAAATACATCTAAAGATGTTACTGAGGAAGAGCTTGAAGATTGGCTGGACAGCATGATCTCCTGAAGCTCAAATTTCCTCATCTGAATAATTGAATATAGCAAACATTACATAAAAAATTGATTTTTTTTTTATCCCTTTGTTATTTCTTTTCTCTGTTTCACCTTGTTCAGTTTGCCAGTATGCTGGCTCCTAAAATTTTGTGCAGCAAAAATTAGTTTAGATGGGGTTGAAAATTGTCAAAGACTAATAATACTATTAGAAACAAAGGTCTAAAATTTGTGATGAAATTGGAATTGTCTTTATTAAAGAAGCAGGCTATAGCAGACTAAGAGAACAGTTATTGGAGCTTGTACTTGCTCTGTGTAGTCCTTAAAATAAAACTGTGAATGAACAGTGAATACATGTGTTTTTAGTCACCATTCTCACACAACTCCATATTGCAGAAAAATGGGAAAGATGACAGCAACAGTAATATTTGGTTTATAATACTTTATTGCAGTGGGCACTTTTATTAGGAGAAAAAAAAATGCATAATCCTAACAACTTCTACTTGCAGGTGACCGTAGAGCATTGTTTTATTTTGGCCTAAGATTTAAACTGTGTTCATTTTGATACAGTGTATGTCTTTTAACAGCAGCATCTAATAAGCTGTTATTGAAGGTAGTATAAACAAACTTCAAGTGCAATTTGATACAGAAAGACAGAAAAGCAATACAGTTAATGGGTCTGTTCATCTAGAACACTAACATAAATAAAAAGTTTGCATAGCTATGTCTACAGAGGTTTTAAGGCACTTTAATGTTTCAAGGTTGACAAAGTGTTTGAAAATGATTTCTTTTTAACTGCTTAAAGCTTTTCAAACTGTATCTTAATACATTCACTAGCAAATACTGTGGGGAAAAACTGGACAGCAGTTAGCTGAACTATTTTTTTCTGAGGCATGGCCTCTGATGTTCAAGTTCTTCAATGTCAAATGTGCAATTAAGATGCCTTTTAGCCCTTTCAACTGTACTCCCAAACACCACGTTAATGATGTGGTTAAAAAGTTGTTATAATTTTAGGCTGTGTTTGAAGTGGAAGGCTTAAGTTAATCTGGCATAGTTTTCTCTTTTCTAATTAAAATTCCAACAAAAGACCTGTTTCATATGTGGTAGGTACAAAAAGCCTGTGAAATAGTGTCAAATTTTATATGAGTCTTGAAGTTTAAAGACATTTAAAGCAAATACAAGCTGTGAAATTGCATCATGAAAAGATTTCTTTTTTTTTTTTTTTTTCTTAATAGTTCATGAATAAATAATTTTTTTTGGTGATATTAGCCAAGTTGATCCTCATACTGTTTTCGGAAGCAGTCCCCTGCTGGGAAAAAATCCCAACATCTTTCTTGGTACATCTTCCACACAAATGACTCCTGAAAATGAGAAAGAGTATTTATTTTAACAGTCAGCATGCAGTTAGTGTCATAGATAAACTTTTAACAATAACCACATACTGTGCCTATTTTCATGGAATAGAACTGTAAAGACACTGGAACTCTGAAGATCATAGCTCAAGAATGATTGTAAAAGTTTTATCTGCACTTTTTCTGATTCAGTACTACCAAAATTTAAAGCCTATTAGCAAAATATGTAAGTGTAAATTAATCAGAACAAACCTGTTCGCAATCTGTGTATATAAAATGTGTTTTGCATTGATTGGAAAACAAAGGTACTTTAGGCCTAACACTTCTTATGAGAGATAAGATATACTTAAATCCTATTTATTTTCTTATTTATTTACATTTAGGCTTAACAATGCTAAACATACAGACAGCCATCTATCTATCTATCTATCTATCTATCTACACATATATGGATTTTTACTATACAAATAATACCCTAACTGCTTAAATCTTTTGTGAATAAACTGTAACTGGTACATTTGAGGTTTTCATTTCAAAGATGGCAGTAAGATTACTAGTACCTGACTTTTGACAGCATTCACTGCTTGGTAAAATAGCACACTGCAGTGCCCCAACCCCTCTGGTTTTGTTTTAACCCTTCTTTTCTTTCACTGACAGTAGACCCTTGGAGGGTGGCATCATCCCCACTTCTTGGTGGTACATCAGTTCCACCTGGTGGTACACAGCTACAAGGCTCAAGAAGATAAAAATAAAAATGTTCAAAGATAAGAAAAATCATTGTTTTATTTTCTACTCACCTGGCCAGTATGCTCAGTTTCATCCTTGTTAATTAGATACATTAAGAAGAACCTGAAACAAGCACATGAAGCAGGTATTAATGCAGGAAACATAACATCTCTGCCTGACCTTTCCTAGCCTGGAGTGTGTGAGAAAGATTGCCTCACACTATAAGCTGACACTGCTAGACATGTAAAGTGCCTATATTAAGGGAGAAAATTATGTCCTGAAGCATGTCTCCTGTGGAAGCGTTAACAGATAAAAAATATGGAGAAGTAGAAAAATATGGCTTAGCATTCTATTCATTTCAGTGTGAGCAACAATACCTGAAGCAGGCATATGCCAAATCCTATGCATATATGCTCCAACATCTCACCTTGGAACAAGTTAGGATGGCTATTATGTGAGAAGTGTGGGAAATACTGAGCTGCACCAGGAATTCCAAACATTCATGCCATACAGCTGGTAAGCTGAGCCTATCCTTCTCCAACACCTATGCTCTCTCAGATGTTGAAAGCTCAAACTCATTAAGAAGGACTGTAGAGCACTAACTAAGGTCTGTTTACAGGTAACACAGCTCTTGGTTGGACAGTTTGGATGCAGTGCATTTGGAATTAGATTTAGTATGTGCTTTTGCTGTGAAGAAAGTACACTGACTTTAACAGTTGTCTAATTAAAGGGCAACCTGGGTAAAAGATTGTTTGCTATGTATTCTAATATTAAGGAAATGGTCACTTTTAATTTACTGTGGATTAGAGGTTCCCATGTATCAGTTAAGTAATTCAATATAGTAAGAAAAGTTTGGTGGTTGTAGGCTGGTAAAACCATGGATGTTAATGGAAATTTGCATCATATAAGGCAATTGATTTTGCTAGTGTCAGTTAAGGCAGCCTCTACTCCAAGAGGCATGCTTTTTTTTTTTTTTTTTTTGAATTCAAAAAGTTCAGATGCAGTGTTCCAAAGTCAGTCTGCTGTATGAGTCCACTAGCTCAGCTACTTTGGTTTTGCTGGCACAGTGCTCATATAATTATCTTTGTTGTATTAATGACTGCTGCCACCAAATTAACTTTTTTAATATCCTCTTTGGTCTGCTCTGTATTTGCTAATGAAAGTGGAAGATCACTGTCTTGGTAGTCTGGGCGATAGTCTAAACATTTACAACTCCTGATTGCTTCAAAGTTTGAAAAGCTTCACTGTCGCTAAAGAACTATACAATCAGAGTTGTTATTTACGGGCAGTTGTCTTTCAATAACCTTCAAAAAATGCCTTTTTTTGCTTTGTTTTGGTTTGGGTTTTCTTTTTGTCAAATTGAGGCACAATCAAAACTTCCAAACTAAAGCAACTCATTAAACTGTTGTCCTCTATCATTCCATGTATCTGGGTTTCCTTCCAGCAAAATAAGGAGTTGGTCTGCCTTCCAGTCTCATTCTGCCAAAATAACTCATGTGTAAGGTAAACACTTTAAAGATAACCAGAAGTGTGGAGTAAAGGAGGGGAGACCAGAAAGGACAGGAGATATTCCTCAGTTCTACAGAATTCTGTCGGGGAACTTTCAGCAATGTGTTCACCTACATTACTCTAGACCTGAAATTTTTACTACAATTCGAGCTGTAAAATGTACTTACAGATAGTTCGCCAAGTTATGTTCTTGCAAAGTATGTGTTTCGAAGCCATGTGGGGTTGTGTCAAAATAGTCATTGCCAATTCCACAAATAAAACATTTGGTCTGAAAACACAAGTTGCGGTTACAGATGAATTTTAACTCGAACACTATTTTAATTGGTGACAATCTAGATGAACAAGAGTAATGAAAAATGTAATGTGCTTCCTACCTCCATGTCTTCCCTCACTTGTTCTTGCTGGTCTCTTAATTCACCAAAAGCATCAATAATCAGACCTATTTTGAATGGAAAAGTAGCAACAGTTCAGTACTCAGCAATATTACAAATAACGTCAGTCAGATGTCCTCCACTGTGTAGAGTTTACTCTAGTACTTATGTCGAGGTTGAACAGTTCAAGTTACAATCTATCAATTTCCAAACATCCAACATTTTTTTTATGCTGCAGTCCCAGCAGTAGGAATTCCTATTACACGAAGGTACAACCCTGAGAGTGAAAGTGCAACCCTTTATTGCAGTCAGTTTACCCGTCCATAAGCTCATCTGTTTTTCCCATGAATGAATTCAATTTTCACTCTCTTACTTATGAAACTCTTGTATCCCAACTCTTGTTCAACAAAGACAGCTCTGCTCCCACAGCCCCCCTTGGCCAGTTCCTGAGGCTGCTTCACATTTGAAGCATCACTCCTCCACTTCCAACATATTAGAATTAGAATCAGATAATTTTGGGGACTGTGACATGCATTACAGTTTTTCTTTGCCACCAGATAGATAGCCATAAAGTGGTGGGTGTTTTCCTAACAGCCTGAGGTCAGTTCATGCAATGAATGTTGAATGCTGACTGTCACTGAAGAGAGATCTCATTCACTGTGAACTACAGTTGCAAACCAATTACACTACAAATCATCCTCTAAAGAAAGGAGGAAATGGCTCTGTGGCCATGGTGACTTTCTTCATGTCATTTACCCTTTTCAAGGGGAAAGTCTCCATTCCCCAGCCAGCTGTGGCAGTTCCAAGGTAAAAGTCTTCAGCAAGGCTCTCCAAGTTTAAATGGTAGTTATACGAAGAACAGTGATCCTGTACAAGCTGCATCATCAGTGACCCTTACCTGAGGTTACACATCTTGTGGTTTGACTTTCTGTAGTACTTGGGACAAGGCATTATTTATGAATTAAGTATAAAACTATTACTTTCAGAATTAATGATTTTATCAGCTCAGAAATAAGTCTTTATAGCTATACTGCTAAATTTACCTCAAACATAATATGGTTTACATTGCTAAGCTTCAGTAAATTAATTTTGAACAGTCTCTACTAAGGTAAGGGATGTTACCTTGAATAATGGCCAGTAGGATTACAATGACAAAGAAGAAAAATGTGATGTCAAAGACAATTCGATACATTTCGTAAGGGTCTCCAGCAGGATCCTCAATTTCATCTCCGATGCCACCACCAGCTCTTACACCCACATACATATGGAACAGGTAACACTAAAAAAGGGAGAGGAAAATTTTCAGATATTTTTACCATGAATTACTCTTCAGTAACTTCAAAACCTCTTGATTTTTTTTCCTTTTTTAAAAAATTATTCTACTCTGCTAATT